TTGGCCATGTGGGAGGTCAGTGACCTAACTACTACACCATCTGCTGGCCCAATAAAATTATTTAAAAAAGAAAACAGAGGGACCAGCAGGTGGCGTGGTGGTTAAGGCGCTGGACACTCCCACATGGTCGACCACGGTTTGAGTCCCAGACCTGGTGGCTTGCTTTCTCACTTTCTGTCTCTCATTCTCTCTGTGGCTCTCTGGTCAAATTAAAATGAATGAATGAATAAATAAAATTAAAAATAAATCATCAAAAAATAATTAAAAAACAAAAAGGAAAGGAAAAAGAAACCCCATGGAGATTAGATATCCATCAAAATGACGTCATTAGATTCCCAGTCAGATAAAGGCTTGCTCAGCTCCCCCTCGGGCCGAGTTCAGGTGTCAGGGCAGGCAGGTGCTGGCCATTCCTTGGAGATGCTTGGCTTAGGGAGGAGGCCCAGCCAGGCCCCAGTGGTGGTTAGGAATGGGGGAGACAGTCCTGGAGCAGGCTAAACTGGGATGATGGGGCAGGTGCAAGGGGCTGCCTGCTCCTGAGTGTAGCCCTTGTTTGCGGGGTGCAGGCTGGGCCCACAGGCAGCTCTGAGGCCACCTTCGCGTCCTGTTCTGTAACTGGGCACTTATTTTCTGGCGGTCACTGAGCGTGTTTGGGTCTGTGTATCACCTCTTTTGTAGACGATTCTGAGACTCGGGCTCACTTGCCCAATGAACTGCCAGGGTCATGTGGCCATAGGCGAGGCCGACTCGGCCCCATGTGGAGCCACCTGAAGTCAAACTGCTGCTGCTCAGCCACCAGACTCCGGCCTGGTCGGGGTGTGGCCTGCGTCCAAGCTGGCCTCGGAGCAGGGACATGCACAGACCGGAAGGGAACGCTCCTTCCACCCTTTTATACTTAGGTCTTGCCAAGGGCGGGTGGGCTTGCCAGAACGAGGCAGAGACAGGCGAGAATCGCCCCCGGGGCATGGCCACGCGCAGTCCCTTCCCCATTCTCTCAGATTTATTTGGGACACTCACACCACCACGTGGGAACCCAGCGCCTTAACCACCACACCACCTGCTGGCCCCCGTTTTTGCCACTTTGAAAGCAGAGGGGATGACTCAACTCATCTTCTAAAAAGTGGGCAGTGTGTGCCCCAAATCCCCGGGGTAAATGGAGGAGGGACTGCAGCAGGGCCACCCCCGGTACTTTCTCACTTCCCCTCCCTCTGCCTCTCTGGGGGGCGCATGTGCCAGTGACAAAGCCCTGAAGAGCAGGTAGTGCTGACCCCCCAGGGTCCAGCTGCTGGGCTCACCTGGTCAGCGTCCCCAAACCTTAGAGGTGTGTCATGTCCTATTCCAAGTGTTCCTGTTGGGAATTGTAACAGAAAAACTGTCTACATTAGCGTCGAAGTGAGGGTAAGCTACTCCCCACTCTGGGAAGTCACGGGTCCTTCTGGAGCTGCCAGGACCCGTGACCCCAGTGTGAGAAACTGCCTCTGCCACCCCTCAACCCCGCCCAGGCCAGGCTTTGCTCCTGTGGCTGCCAGAGACTGGGAGCCTTGGGGTCCCCACAGCCACGCCCTCCAGACTGCTGTTGGCCCTGCCCCTTCTGCCGCCCTCGTACTGCACGGTGGGGGTCTCTGAGGTGCGGGGGGAGCTGGCTGATCCCGGCTGGGCGGAGGGCCAAGGCCATTGGGCCCTGTTGCCTTTGGCACGTGGCCTTCCCTCGGTCCCCCTGGACGGTGCAGCATCTGTCTATAGCCTGGGACACATGGGTCACAGTGCCTGTCAG